CTTAAAAAACTTGATTTGCTATTTATTTATTAGCTTTAGAAAGGCCTCATTTCAAATTAGTGCACTTTTTCTTTCTTCCCAATATGTAAATCATCAATGAAGAACATTACAACAAAACTAAACTGTCAGAGTAAGGATCATGGCATATAATATCACAGAACAGCTCAAGGCACATCTATGTTTTATAAGAATCATTCTTTAACTTTAAGCATCTCTTAGTAAGAGAAGCCTTGACTAATTCTAACGTATTATAACAATTGTGGTGACGTCAGCAAACACCATGACTTTCTAATGTATCAGGTGGCTGGATGGAGGTATGGCCAGGCAGATGAATGGAGTGCAACTGCAATCACTAGTGGTTGCATAGAGCAATCATAAATAAAGTGCACTATAAACAGAGTACAAAAGTTGGGAACTTATTGAGAATGGGATTTTTTTCTTAAGCACTACATGAGATTTGTTTAATGTTTTAATTTAAATTAGAAGTTTGAAAATGATAAAATAACAATTGTCTTTTGGTAGCTGTTAATTGTCATTCAACTGTATTCAATTGAATAGGTGCTAATTACTGCATGAAGGAAGTTAAGTCAATACCTACAACTTCTGAGTAGCTCAGAAAATGATTGTAAACTATATCCACTGACACAGAGCTACTGTAGTAGGAGTGTATCATAAACAGAGCAAAAAGTTGGTAAGAGTGACAATAAGAGTCTGTGGACTTCAAGACTATCCTAAGTGCACAAATCTGCAGTTAACGTCTCCGCCTCAGTGCTCCAGCTCAGAATCATCGATTTGGAGACACTTTGATGCATAAAGGCAAGCGAGAAATATTTGGATCATCTGTTCCTGACTTCAGTCTCAATCGAGAAGTGTAGGTTCAGAATGGAATTGGTGTGCAGAAAGGGCACCATGGTGAGACAGAGAACAACAACCTGCAGAAACTAATGCTACCCAATAGGTACAATGCGATTGTTAGCTTTGAGCATAAGAACACTATTGGAAAGATAGCCAGAATGCAGATCATGGCTGAAGGCTGTTCAAAAAGGTTGGGAGAAGGAGGACAAAGGGGAATACAATGTGGCAGTCGTGGGAGATTCAATAATTAAAGAGACAGATAATATCCCTTGTAATTAGAATCAAGAACCCTAAAGAGCATATTGCCTACCTTACGTCAAGGTTCCAAAATCAGACTGAAAGGATATTGGTGAAACTGCAAAGGATGCAGTCATTGTGCTCCACGTTAGGACTAACAACATAGGGAGGTGCCATGAACATTAAAGAAATAGGAAAGAAACTTACAAGAATGAAATACAAACATGCAAAGAAAAGCGCTGTTTCTGCTGAATGAAAAAAGAGGAACTGCAAAGTGCAACAAAACAGATAGTAAGATCTGCAAATAATGTAGCAGTGTGAAAATGAAATTTCAAGGGAGGTGAAGTAATTATAAAACTATTTCATAATTGTTTTAGGGAAAAAGATGGTCAGGAGCAATGGGGCTCCCTTGAAAACTGATAATGGTGAAACTGTTGATGGCAATAAGAAAATGGTAGTCTTTTCTGCTGTTGAGGAAGGTTCCCAGACATTCCAAGGAAACATATTGAATCAGGGACACGGACTCACCAATATTAATAAAATATAAATAAAACCAAATCTAATAAAGAAAATAATGATAACAAAAATTTTATTGATCCCAGGGCCCTATGATTTTCACCCAAGGATTTTAAGGTGAGTGAGAACATTGCACATTACTGATCTATAATTTTGCAAAACTTGCAAGTCAGGAAAGTTCCCTTAGATTGGAAAGTTGCGCATGCCACTCCCCCATTTAAGAGAGGTGAGAGAGGGAAACCAGGGAACTGTAGGCCAGTTATTCGAACATCTGCTTGTAGGAAATTATTAATGTGTATACTTAAGGATAGAGTGACTCAACACCTTGAAATTTTTAGCAGATCAGAGAGAACCAGCCTTGTAAAGGATTAGTCTTGCCTGAAAGTCGTGGATAGAGAGCTGTCAATGGATGTAATTTATATTGACTTACAGAAGGCATTTGATGAAATCCCTCCAAAGGGAGTGTTTGCTGCAGTTGACATTCATGGAATTAAAGGCAAATTATTGAACTGGATTGGAGGTTGGCTGAGATGCAGGAAACAGAGATAATAGGCTGGCACTCCAATTGGTGTACTGAGGCTTCAACTATTTCACTGTATTTATGAACACCTTAAATACTGGAGGAGAAACCACATCTCAACATTTGCCAATGACACTAAACAAAGAAATATTAATAGATAAATTGGAAGGGCAAAACTATGGCAAATAGATTTCAATGTAGGTAAACATGAAGTCATCAATTTTGGACCCAAAACAGAGTGCTCACTAAATGGTGAAAGCCTAGAACAATGGATGTCAAAACAGATTTGGGTGCTTTCAGAAAATAGCCAAGAAGGCCATATCTAACAGACTAAAATAAAAGGGGTTAGAGTTCATAAATATGTATAGCTGGAACAAGCCTTGGTTATGGCATATCTGGAGCACTGAGCTGTTATGAGCTTCATACTTTAGGTAAAATTGGCCTTGGATGAAATGCAGCGTATAGATTAGTAGAATGATACCTAGAATCCAAGAATAAATTACAACGAAAGGTGACACAAACAAGGAAATGCTGGAAATATTCAGCATCTGTGGAAACAGAAATGCTTTTTTTGGTCTCTACCGATGCTGTCAGAGCTGCTGAACACCTACAGCTGTTGCTTTTTTTTTAAAATTCAGATTTCCATCATCTGCAGTATTTTGGTTTTGTTACATAATAAAGGTTGTGCACTGAGAAGGTTAAGGGTTGATTTGATCAAATGTTTAACGATATTGAGGAGAACCGGTAGGATATATAGAGAGAAGCTAATTCAGCTGACTTAGAAATCTGGAGGTAAGGAGCATTATCTAAGAGTAAGAGCAAACCAGGGAAGGTGGCTCAACTATGGCTAGCAAGGGAAGTCAGGGATAGTATTAAAGCCAAAGAGGAGACATATAAATTGGCCAGAAAAAGCAGCAAACCTGAGGGCTGGGAGAAATTTAAAATTCAGCAGAGGAGGACAAAGGTTTTAATTCAGAAGGTGAAAATAGAATATGAAAGTTATCTTGTGGAAAACATAAAAACTAACTGCAGAAGCTTCTATAGATATGTGAAGAGAAGAAGACTGGTGAAGACAAATGTAGGTATCTTATAGTTAGAATTGGGTGAATTCATAATGGACAACAAAGAGATGGCAGACCAGTTAAACAAACACTTTGGATCTGTCTTCACTAAGGAGGATATAAATAATCTTTCAGAAATTCTCGAGTTCAGGGGGTCAAGTATGAAGGAGGAACTGAAGGAAATCCTAATTACTCAGGAAATGGTATTGAGGAAATTGATAGTATTAAAACCCGATAAGTCCCCAGGGCCTGATAGTTTGCATCCCAGAGTACTTAAGGAAGTGGCCCTAGTAGTAGTGCACACATTGTGATCATTTTCCAGCATTCTATAGACTCTGGAAGAGTTCCAATGGACTGGAGGATAGCTAATGTAATCCCACCCTTCTAAACAAAAGGGAGAGAAATTGAGGAATTATAGGCCGGTTAGCCTGACACCAGTGGCAGGGAAAATGCTTGAGTCAGTTATTAACGATGTAATAGCTGAGTATTTGGACAGCAGTGATAGAATTGGTATAAGTCAACATTGATTCACTAAAGGGAAATTAAGCTTGACAAATCGTCTGGAATTTTTTAAGGATGTAGTAGAATAGGGTTAATTCAGCAGATGTTATGTATCTGGACTTCCAAAAGGCTTTTGACAAGTTTCCACACAACAGATTTGAAAGCAAAATTAAAGATCATGGTATTGGAGGTAATGTTTTGATGTGGGTAGAGAACTGGTTGGCACACAGGAAGCAGAGAGTTGGAATAAACAGGTCCTTTTCAGAGTGGCAGGCAGTGATGAGTGGGGTACCACAGGGTTTGGTGCTGGGACCTCAGCTGTTCACAATATACATTAACAATTTGAACAAAGGAATTGAATGCAAAATCTCCAAATTTACAGATGACACTAAGCTGGGTGGCAGAGTGTGCTGTGAGCCTGCAGCTAAGAGGCTGCAGGGTGACTAGGACTGGCTGGTTGAGTGGGCAAGTAGTTGGCAAATGCAATATAATGTGGATAAATGTGAGAGTATCCACTTTGGTGGCAAAATCAGGAAGGCAGATTATTTGCTGAATGGTGGAAGTTTAAGAATGGGTGAGGTGCAACGAAACCTGGCACTGGACTGGACGTAGAATGTTCCCGATGTTGGGGAAGTACAGAACTAGATCACAGTCTAAGAATAAAGGGTAAGCCATTCGGGACTGAAATGAGGAAGAATTTCTTCACCCACGGAACTGTGAACCTGTGAAATTCTCTACCACAGAAAGCTGTTGGGGAAAGTTCATTAGATATATTCAAGAGAGAGCTGGACGTGGCCCTTGCAGCTAAAGGGATCATGGGGTATGGAGAGAAAGCGGGAGTGGGATATTGAAATTGCATGATCAGCCATGATCATATTGTATGATGGTGCAGCATTGAAGGGCCAAATGGCCTACTCCTGCACCCATTTTCCATGTCTCTATGTTTCTTTCAGGTGTGAAATTTGGAAACACTTCTATACATTAATGATGGTTAAATTTTTGAGTTTTCTTCTGCAATTGGCAATTGATGGTGAATCAATTCTTACCTTTAAACTGGAATTCTTAGACTTTGTTAACTAAAAATCTTAAGCCATTTGGAGCAAAGGAAGATATAGAGTTAGATTTGGGTTACAGATCAATATTTACCTCATGGAATGGTGGAACTGATTTGAGGGGCTAAATTGGTCTACACACGTTTCTAAAGTTAGTCTGATAGCTCAAGAAAAAGAGATAGGAAAGGGAAATGTACACAGACAGTTCAACAGACATTGTTCCTTCTTTTTGTTAATTTGTTACATTTTACCTTACAGTCTTATACTAAAGAGAAGTGCAGATGCAACAAAATCTTACTTGACAAAATCTGAGCAACTTCTCAGAGTGGACGATCATGATTTCACAATGAGACCTGGATTTGGAGGTAAGAACCAACTTCCATCTTTGCCTAATCTTGTATCTTGCAATATTGTAAGACTAATGCATGCAGTTGACATCACCAGTCATATGTAACCACGGTTGGATTTTTCAGTTCAAAACGCAGTTTGAATAGTTAATAGATAGATGAGCAGATTAACACTTGAAAGAGTATAAAAATTGAAAATGAATTGAGTCTATGTCCCTCAGAGACTGGCCTAACTGTGCTTTCAAACCATGACTTACTTCTAAGAAGCTGATCACACTACTTTTGATGAGACCAGCACCACTATCATACACAAGGTGCAGGGCTGGATGAACACAGCAGGCCAAGCAGCATCTCTGCTCCTATGATGCTGCTTGGCC